CATCACAAGCATCACATACTCTTGATTAATTGAATTTATTTAATTTAACGTCTATTAAACTTATTAATTTGGTCACTTTGGTAAATAACAAATTAAACATTACATAAACATTAAATAAATAATAATTTCAATCACATCAATTTACTTTAGTTTTATTGATCTAATTAAAAATCTAATTCACAATGGAAATTTATTACAATTAACATAATTAAAATTATATGAAAAATCATAAATTTAGTAATCAAGGCTCTGATACCACATGTTAGAAATTTCATGTTTCAACTTTATGACACAAATTTCAAAAAAAATACATAATAGCCATGATCTTTTAAATTCATGATTTTTACATATCTAAAATAATGTGATGCATAATTGTATTCATGATGAACAAATTTGATCTTGAAGAGATGAAGTTTCTCTCTAATCCCTTGAAACTTTATGTTGGAGAGAAATGTACGGGGTGTGTTAGGTAGAGAGATGACCCATTCTCAAATTCATGCTCTATTTAACCACCATCGATCAAGGGGGTTACTAACCAGTATGATTTATGATAATTTAATAAATTAATTGATTTTTATTATTAAAATCAATGACATAAGTGAGTAACATTTATTTATTTTTAGAGGTTCTATGAGTTACAAAAATAAATATCATAAGTTGTCATAAGTTATGACATAAGTTATGAGTTAATAAAATAAATAACTTAAGTTATCAAAATAAATATCTTATGTTGTCATAATTTATGACATAAATTATGAGTTAAGAAAATTAATAATTTAAAAATTATCAAAAATAAATATCATAAGTTGTGATAATTTATGATATAATTTATGAGTTAAGAAAATTAATAATTTAAGTTATCAAAAATAAATTTCATAAATTATTAAAACAAATATAAGCCATAAATAAAAATATAACAATCCGCTGAATTACTCTCATATTTCCCACTTCTGTAAATCAAAATTAGGGATTAACGGAGTACGGATTCACGGAGTACATAAACTTTGATGAGTGTCTTGCCTACATCGAGGATCTGATGATTAAGCATGGTCCGTTTGATGGGTTGATGGGATTTTCCCAGGTGAATTTTATGCTTTCGTTCTATATTTTTATTTTCTTCCTAAATATGTAATGTTTTGTATTTGGGGTTGATTGTGTCTGCCGAATAGCGCAGGGGGCAGCTCTCTCCGCTGCGCTGCCGGGTCTCCAGGCGAAGGTGAAGAAAGCTGTTCTCAATTTCATGTGATTCGAATTTCAACAGCTTTTCGGATTTGAGTTTGATGAGAACATGGTCTGTTCTTTTTGCCTGTTTTAAATTTTTAGGGTTTCGCATTGAAGCGCGTGCCCCAGGTGAAGAACGTGGTGATAATTGGCGGGGCAAAGCTTCCATCACCCGTTGTGGCGGAGAAGGCGTTTGGTGCGAAGATAAAGTGCCCTTCCCTCCACTTCATTGGTATTTTGCCGAAAATTTGTTCAATAAAAACGTGCTAAATTTGAAAATTACAAAAGAAACAGGGGATGCAAATTTAAGCATATGTCAAGTTTAAAATTTTCCTTAAAAAAAGCATTACTTTTGATGTTTAATCCTATTGATTTAATTTTATGCCAAATATTTTGACGGCAGGAGAATTGGACTTCTTGAAGGAACACGGTGAAGCTCTTTTGGACGAATTTGTAGACCCCGTTGTACTTCGCCATCCAAGGGGACACACGGTCCCCAGACTTGGTATTTTTCTCTCCTTCAATTTACCTACCAAGTACTGACTAATATTCTTTTCTTTCTGGTGAAATGTACATTAGCATATCTGGGACGAAAGGTCTTGGAAATGTTCTTGTTTTGTTTAGGCCCTGACACGTGGCAGTAACAATAAGTGTTGAAAAAGCTTATTGTTTTCAAGCCACCACAATTTTTATTCGGTTTTGATTTAAGCTGCTGCTTCGATGTCATAGCCTTGTTTAAAATAATCTCTTGCTATCTTAAGCTTAAAAAAATCATTCTTGCTTTTTAAATAACGTATTTTTTGCTCAAAGTAGTCTTAAGATTAGTATAGCACTCTAAAAAGATTTTCTTATAAGTTTGTTTTCTCTTTTAGAGATTGAATGTAATATCATTCAACCAAGTCATTCGTGTTTTGAAAATAGTGGAGAAACTATGCATTCAAGAGTGGGAAGAGAAACAGTCTACGGCTCATTCAAATCTATGCTAACGAGGCCCAACACGCCCTCCTTGATTACATCATAATTTGAAAATTTATTTAGCAGCTTGACAGCTTAGAATATCAAAATGTTTTTAAAGTTTACATATAATGAAATATTTAAACAAGGTAATAATTTTACCAAATCAATTAGTACACATTCAATAAATAATCAGTAATTACTAATTAAGGGTCTGGTTGGGGCAGTTGTAGCTTATTGAATAATCTGCTGATAAGTTAGGTGCGGTGCCTATTACAAATTTTTATTTTTTTTGGAAAAGTGAAACCGTAGCCAGAAAGCTGTCACAGCACCTAGATAGGTACGGTTTGAAAACGCATAAGCTGTCAAAACGTAATTTACCCAAACAAACCAGGTGCGTTTTCAAAACGCCACCGCACCAAATAAGCTGCGCCAAATGGGCCCTACATCCTAAAAAAAATTATTTTAATGATACACAAATCTCGAAACATTTCGAACAATAAACATTCCAAATTCAAATTTAAGATCTCTAAAGCTCCGATTATATTAAGTTTATAATCAAACTAGTGGTCTCAACAAGGCGAGCCAATGAAGCCAAAATTGGTTCGATTCAAGTCATGTCAACCCTTTTAAGCTCAATTGGAGGCTTTGGATAGACAATTAAATGGTCAAACATATTATAAATCTGAGAAGTTTATAGTTAAATTGAGTGTCTTGTTAAGCTGAATCCAATGAGCTTATCATCACTCAATTCTAACATTTTAAGTAATCTTTCTGGGTTGTTGATTGAGCTCATCCAGATTCAATGAGCTCATCATCAAGACACCCAAATTCTCATAAAATATTATCTAATCAAAGGAATCATTCTGGGTTGTTGATTGAGTCATCCAGATTCAATGTAACACTTAACAAGGTTATTACTCACAAAATCAATAGTTAAACCTCTACTCCTTTTATGAAGGGGGACTTGGATATGAAGGAGGAAGCTAAAGGAGCTCCAAGCTCTTGAAGCTTCCTAAGCTCCACCATCACTGAACGATTGTCGCAGCTACAGCCGGATGACCTTTTAATCTCCTAAGTAAATTTCAAAATAAGTAAATTTCAAAATAAAATAATGTGGTGGAAATACAAGTAATTAACTCGGGATATCACGAGCCTTTTAATCTCCTGCCACGCAACATTGTCAAACCACTATTGTGGCTTCCAAAGTACCACTGAACTGCGACCACCGCAGTCCGACCACCATTGCTCGACCACCACTATCGAGCTGCAGCCACCGGCAGATCACCGTCGTTGCTTGGCCATCGTCGTCGAGTTCGCCACCGCCAGACCAGTATCTTCGCTTCCAAGTCACCGTCAGATGGTCGCTACAACTGAAGATTTTGGCAGCTTATTTTCTGACACACGACCACTACTGTGGTTTTCCTTCATAGTCATCTTCACCGCCACTTCCCTAGCATTTTATGGTTCTTTTATAGCAAAATTCTCGTCTACTTGTGTAACATTGCTTCAAGTTATTCAAGGGTTAGTAAAATCTTATAACATGCGTCGACATAAGGGAATTATTCAACTTGTTCAAACCCCCTTATGGCATTTCCCTTTTGGGGTTTTCAAGTAAAAACTCTTATATGTTTGATATTTGTATAACAGTAAGACATTATATATAACTCTATCATTGCAAATTTATCAACACGTAACAATTTGACGTCATTTGTGGGAAAGATAACCCACCATAAAAAAAACTTATAAAACTTGTGAAATTACCAACACACACAATACTCGTAATAACAAAGCATCCCATTTCAACACTTACCACTCCAGGGGCAATCACTGAGCCAGGGATGTCAAGAATCTACTCTTTTTCTTGCACAAAAGTCATTTTTCTACTGGCGAAGGTGCCTCAAGCCCATCCTTGGAAGACCAAGTGCACAAAATAAAACATGAGATTCTTCAGCTTCTACGTGAGGGATGATAGTTGATGCCCGCACAGCCAGGCAGAGTCTACTTGCCACAAGGTCAACAAAATGCAAAGAATCCTTTGCTTGAGAATACTTGTATTGGGCCTCCTCCCCATTATGATGGGATTCCTTCTCCTACAGGCCAATACTCCGATCTCTTCGATACTACGAGTTCTACTCGTCCATCTCGTGTAGCTGAACTGATTACTAACTCTCCAATGCTCACAAGAAACTTGGCTCAACCACTCCTTATTGCGTTCCCAATGATGTAATTTGTGCTTAGTTGCGACGCTTGGTCTGCAAAGAGTTCCATCTAAGGGATAAAGACCATTTCCCTACTTGTAATTTTCAAGAGTCTTCTCCCTTGCCCTTGTCAGTACTTTAACACTCTATCCCAACTGGTTTCAAGTATTGGAATATTGACTCCTATGACGGGATATCTGACCCTTACAAACATATTGATCATTACTAAACTTTCGTGCACATCCAATGGGTTTCTAATGTGCTTCTCTGTCAAGTGTTTCCCACCACTCTCAAACACCAGACTCACACGTAGCAAATCAAAGGACTCTCCATACTTTCAATAAACTTCCCATACTCTTTGTGGAGCTCTTCATAGCAAATTAAAGGATTGTCAAGGACTCATCTTATTTTTCAAGAAATCGTCAAAATGAGAGAGAATCACTTAATGAATAGTTCTGAAGCAGATTTCAAAGGTGATCGTAAATTACTGAGGGGAGTTTTTTTTGGAGGGCTTCACTTGGGACATTTCTACTCATCGTTAGTGAGAGAGACTCATTAATTGCAAACTCAAATTATTGTAGATAAGACTATCAATGCGCACAAAGAACAATTTGAGTGATTTTGGGGTATGCATAAGAGTAACCCCACTGATGTTGATCTAGCCTCACAACAAAAGAAATTTGATTAGTAAGAGAACTCTGATGTCCCTTCTCGGCCTCCACACCAGTGACATGAGCCTCGACCAAAGGAGGAATATATGATGCTCAACTCATCGCATGTCAAAATTTTGATGAACATTAGAGATTAAGAGCTCATTTATTGGCCCCCTCTTGAAGTTGAATTTAGGGAATTAAGAATAATATTGTCAATTCCTTCGGATTCACGGTCACACAACCGAGCATGTAATATGCCTAAAGACAAGATTGAATGGTTAATTTAACAGGGGTACTTAAGTCAATTCTTGCAAAAAGGCCTACCCATGCAGATAACGCTCCCGCTAAGGGGCAATAAACACACAAAATAGCAACAAGGGAGCCTTCAAATGGTTGGTGAGATTAAAACGATAGCCGAAGGCCCATTATTGTATGATCATTTATTTCATACCGTATCTGAGGAACTGAGACAATAAACAGTTGCAAATCGATCCCATCGCTTTTGTTGAATTTGACTTAGAGGGGGTCTAAATCTCTCATCAAGACCCGTTCATCATAAGTGCAGGAACCGATGAATAATGTTACAATATGAGGAGAATTCTAATTGACAGTGACAACTCTATTTGATGTCTTATTTTACTCAATATTTTTCAATTTGGGGCTGACCAGGGAAAAACTTCAACTTGCATTTAGGCCATTGTACATGTTTAATAATCGATCAGTGATACTCGAAGGAACAATTACTTTTCCTGTCATAATGAGAATTTTTTTGACAGATGACTCACTCTTTCTAGTTATTGTTGTCAAGTCAAAATCAATATATAATGCTATCTTTGAAAGACCAATTTAGTCTATTTTTAATATTATTATTTATGTACCACACCTCAAGCTTAAATCCTCAAGCCTTTTTGGAGTTGGTGTTGTGTGGGAATCAACAGGTATCACATTCTTGCTATCTTAGACAAGCTTAATCGCACTCATCTATGACTCTTAATGTTGAAAATTTTGACCTCCTAGAACGAAATATCCCAACAAGCTTCTCCATTGGAAGATTTGATTAATATTCTACTATTAAGCGTGCATCCCTCAGGATAGTACAACTTATTTCTTTATTCTCTGAAGAGCAAAGATTAGAGTATACAAATTCTCCTTTAGAATTAAGTGATCTTTGCTTGGGCCCCGCCTGGTATGCATGGGGTTGACCCTGGGGTATTTATGCATTCCTTAAAGTTGGACTTAACCTTCTGCGTTTTTCACATAATAACTTATGTCGCATTCCCTATCAATTTCTTTTTACATATATGAGTGTCGGATATTCGTACAATACTAAAACGTTAATATATCACTCTACCGTTGTGAATTTACAAGCACACAAGAAGCCTAATTAATTTCTGGTTTTTTTTATTTCACTCTATTGCTTTGTTAATTAATGCATAATTAGTTACTATGAGTAACGTCCATTCAACATTGAACTTCGCATCTTAATCAAATTTTTTTGGAAGATTTACATACACATCACTCAATTCCTATATATTTACATATCTAACTCTTGAACTTTAATTTTTACATATATACCACCTTATCTATGCATGAGAAGGTGTATTTCACTCTTTAAAAGTTGAAATAGTGGTAGTTTTATGTCATATGAAAGATTTAGTTGGAATAAATGTAAAAATCAAAACTTAGGTGTAAGATATGTAAATACATAGGAATTGGATGCTATGTGTGTAAATTGTCCCTTTTTTTTATTATAGACTTATGCTTATAGCTAATGTCAGCCCACTTAAGGTCTAAGATTCTAAAGCTTCTTCAATAGTTATTTGCTATTTATTACATTACTCTAGCATGCTAACATGCATATAACTGCATTCTTGACATTCTGGTACTGCTATTTTTTACTAATTATATTACCAATCCATTAATGGTTCTGTCATGTAATTGAACGACGTTTAACACATGCTATTTTTAATACATGCTATTTTTAATCTGGACATCTATAAATTTTGCTGAGTATAAAAGGTAGTATGTAACACATGCTATTTTTAATCTGTACATCTATAAATTTTGCTGAGTATAAAAGGTAGTATTTTTTTGTTTTTTTGCTATAAACTGTCAAATCTATTATGATTAAGACTAAAGTAGTTATTAATATTTCATTTCCAACATTAGTTTGTAAATTTACAATGTTGTTTTCTTAGACGACAAGAGCCTGGAAGTGGTGCTTGGTTACATAGAACGCATCGAGCAGAATTTGGATGGCTCTCTCTAATTGTGAGGAAGCCATTGAAGTTTGATAATAATATTGAGCATGGCTGCATTGGAACGGTGGCTTCAGTTCTTAATTGTGTTGCATATATACACTTTATATATATACCTTGGTTACAGTAAATGAATTTATTATACCATACATGGAGCCATCTAAATTATCAAAATAGTAGGTGCTCCAGTTGCTCGGGTTGGATAAAATTGTATGATTTCCACAATTGTGGATGTGCTTGATATCTGTTTAAAAACCTGTTAAAGGTTTCTGTACTGTTACTATTACTAAGATACATTTCTTAATGTTATATTATGCAATATGCATATTGCTAACTGTAGAGTATATAACATTGTTGTGTTGTTGAGTTTGGTAATTGGCTAATTGCTAATTGTGACAGAAACCAAACTTAATTTAATTGTATTCAACTAATTGGTAGATAATCTATGAATGCGTTCGTTTCAAAGCTAGCTGCATTGCTATTTCGAGTACTGGAAACATTGACGGATTATTTGATGAATCCACAATTTTGGGGCATACTAAAGTTGAGTTGGGCTTGATTCTTGCTTTAGGAAGAAAGTGATGCAGTTGCTTTTCTCCGTTTGACTTTTCATATTTAGAAGTTATTAAGACTTTAATAGTGGCTTAATTATATTTAAGCTTTATTTAGTTTTCTTTTTTTGGGGCTAATCATATTAGTATTCCTCTAGAAAGAATAGGAGATAACATTTTTTTTTTGTAACTTCGAAGTTTTTAATTAAAACAAAACTTTTTAGTTCTTTTATCTTCTCTTCCCTTCTTGCTTCAACAATCTGAGCACTGCACCATGGTGTTATCAAAGCCGATGGCAATGAAGAGGAAAGATGACGATGTCCGGCTTGCAATGGCGATTGAAGCAGGCAATATTGTCAGATCTCCAACATAGCCTTCATGGTGGATGTGGGCTTTCTACCCTCTATTTGGGGATTGTAAAGGGTTCTTCATCACTCCGGGAATAACAATGGCTTCTATCCGACAACCAAACTATCATATCTAAGACCCTCACTAGAAATTTGTGACATGGTTAGGGCGAACTGAGATCTGTGGCGTTCTCGTCAATCCTGTAAATTGGCTAGAGCAGAGATTCCTAGATTTGATGGTGAGCTTTATGTTTGACCACGGCATGTTCACAACATTCACCCACTTCACTTGGCCCTTTATTATCGCAGCCAAGATAAGTTTGAAATTGTATTTGATGTCCCTTATTCTTATTTTGATGGTTATTCTCACATCGAGAATTATCTAGATTGGAATCAGGAATTAGAAATTTTATTTGAGGACTTAGATATTCCTCAAGAAAAGCAAGTTAGTTTTATTATACACAATTTGAAGAGTGTGTAGCTGCTTAGTGAAACCATTTGACAGCTCATTGTTACGAGGATCTTAGTGATGCCAAGATTTGGACCAAGATGAAACGATTACTACAAACATTTGTTGCAACACCAAAATCGTAAATGGAAGCTTGTTCATCCTGGCAAGGTGAAAAGAATGGACTTCAAATTTTCGTGTGAAGGAGAATCAAGAACTATTCATCATGTGCACACAACTGATTTTGAAGAGAATGAAGTTTGCTAAGACAATCATGCTCATGTTTATGGAATGAAGCGTTTCTACCATACACACACAACATGTTTTTGTTATATTTTTATTTATGACTCTCATTTATTTTAATAACTTATGAGATTTATTTTTGATAACTTAAGTTATTAATTTTCATAACTCATAACTTTTATGTCATAAATTATGACAACTTATGATATTTATTTCGGTAACTCATATAACTCCTAAAATAAATAAATGTTACTAACTTATGTCATTGATTTTAATAATAAAAATCAATTAATTAAATTATCATAAATCCTATTGGTTAGTAACTCCTTTGATGGATGGTGGTTAAATAGAGCATGAATTTGAGAATGGGTCATCTCTCTACCCAACACACCTCGTACAGTTCTCTCCATCAGAAAGTACACAAAGTTTCAAGGGATTAGAGAGAGAAACTTCATCTCTTCAAGATCAAATTTGTTCATCATGAATACAGGTATGCGTCACTTTATTTTAGATATGTAAAAATCATGAATTTAAAAGATCTTGTGTATTATATATATTTTTTTAAATTTGTGTCATAAAGTTGAAACATTAATTTTCTAACATGTGGTATGAGAGTCTTGATTACTAAATTTATGATTTTTCATATAATTTTATTTATGTTAATTGTAATAAATTTTCGTTGTGAATTAGATTTTTAATTAGATCAATAAAACTAAAGTAAATTGATATGATTGAAATTATTATTTATTTAATATCTATGTAATGTTTAATTTGTTAGTCACCAAAGTGACCAAATTAATAAGTTTAATAGATATTAAATTAAATAAATTCAATTAATCAAGAGTATGTGATGCTTGTTATGAAATAATTAAATATTTTATTAAAAAAAATAAAATTAAATTAAAATTCGTTGATTATAAAATATTTTTAGATCGCCCAAAGGTTGATCATTTATTATATAATCATTGAATATAATTGTTGTCTATTTATATACTAAGTTAAGATATGTTTATATATCTAAAGATAATAGATATGTCTAACTTTAGTACAAGCAATTATCAATTATATTAAATTTAAGTCAAGCATCAATTATGTTTATTATCATGTATTGTTATATCACCCAAAGGAGATTTCAATACGCTAATATTATTATGATCATTATTTTAATCTGATTTTATATGAATATCTATGTAAGTTTAATGTTTAAAACATTAATGTACGAGCATGTTTTATTTATTTGCTGTAACTACTCCTGTTTCCCTTCATTCACAAGCTACATCTATTTAAACTTTCAATGGGCTTAATTTCTCTGAATGACGTGAACAAGTCCAGTTTCACCTTGGTGTTCTGGATCTTGATTTAACACTTACGACTGAGAAACCCCTCGCTCTTACTGATTCTAGCAGTGCTGAGCAAATATCTTTCTATAAAGCTTGGGAAAAATCAAACAGATTAAGCTTAATGTTTATCTGAATGACTGTAGCAAACAACATAAAGTGTACATTTTCTAACACTGGCAGTGCTAAGGAATTTATGAAATTTGCTGAGAATTGTTCTCAGTCTAACTCTGCTGATAAGTCTCTTTTTGGGACACTATTGAGTACGTTAACCAACATGGAATTTGATCTTTCTCATACCATGCATGAGCATGTCGTTGAAATAACGAACATAGCACTAAGACTTAAGACCCTGGAAATGGAAATGAATAAAAATTTTCTTGTGCAATTTATCATTAACTTCTTGCCTCCTGAGTATGGTCCATTTCACATGAATTACAACACTATAAAAGATAAGTGGAATGTGAAAGAACCACAATGTATGCTCAATCAAGAGAAAGCAAGACTTAAGAAAAGAACAAATCATTTCATTAAATAAATCACTCCATTAATCTCATAGGTCATCAAAGAAGAGCTGTAAAGAAACCTAGAAAGGCGAATGGAAAGGGCAAGCAAGGACCACTAAAGATTAATGTTTCATATGCCCCAATTCACAAAGAGGAATATAAAGGAATTAAGTTTCACTTTTGTAGAAAGCCTAGACACTATCAAAATGAGTGTCAAAAGCGCAAAGACTGGTTCGAAAAGAAAGGTAAACCTTGTGTTTCTGTATGTTTCGAATCAAATTTGACAGAAGTTTATTATAATACCTAGTGGATTGATTATGGTTGTACCACTCATGTTTCTAATATGATGCAGGGATTCCTTACAACCCAAATGAACATTTTGTCTTCATGGGAAACTGAGTCAAAGCACAAGTTGGAGTTATTGGAACCTATCGGCTGATTTTAGATACTGAACATCATTTAGACCTTTTTCAAACATTTTATCTCCTTTCTGTTTCTCGTAATTTGATTTCGTTGTCTAAACTTGATTCTATAGGATACTCATTTAAATTTGGAAATGGTTGTTTCAGTTTGTTTAAACACAATCATCTCATAGGTTATGGTATTCTTTGTGATGACCTATATAAGCTTAAACTTGATAACTTTTTCTCTGAGAATTTGATGACTTTGCATCATAATATTGGTACTAAACGCGATTTTATGAATGAAATTTCAGCTTATTTGTGGCATAAACGTTTGGGTCATATATCTAAAGAAAGAATTGAAAGATTAGTAAAGAATGAAATCCTTAATGAATTAGATTTTGCTGATCTTGGCATCTGTGTGAATTGTATTAAAGGAAAACACACAAGTCACACACTTAAGAAAGCTGCCACAAGAAGCACACAACTTCTTGAAATTATACACACTGATATTTGTGGACCTTTTGATGTTCCATCTTTTGGTGGAGAGAAATACTTTATCACCTTTATTGATGATTTTTCGCGTTATGGGTATGTCTATTTATTGCATCAAAAATCTCAAGCTATAGATGCCTTAAAGGTGTATATAACTGAAGTTGAGAGACAATTAGACAGAAAAGTAAAAATTATCAGGTCAGATAAAGGCGGTGAATATTATGAAACTTATAATGAATTTGGACAATGTCCAGGTCCATTTGCTAAATTCCTTCAAACTAATGACATGTGTGCTCAATACACTATGTCAGGAACCCCACAACAGAATGGTGTTGCAGAAAGGCAAAATCGTACTCTAATGGAAATGGTTAGGAGTATGATGAGTAATTCTTCTTTTCCCTCATCGTTATAGATGCATGCTTTAAAGACCGCTGCATATTTATTAAACAGGATTCCTAGTAAGGAAGTTCCAAAAACTCCTTTTAAACTGTGGACAAGAAGGAACCCTAGTTTAAGGCACCTGCGTGTTTGGGGTTGCTCAGCGGAAATAAGATTATATAATCCACATGAAAGAAAATTGGACTCAAGAACAACCAGTGGTTTCTTCATTGGTTATCAAGAAAAATCTAAAGGGCATAGATTTTATTGTTCTAATCACAGTACAAGAATTATTGAAACTAGAAATATCAAGTTCATTGAAAATGATAAAGTTAGTGGGAATTTGGAACCACATAAAGTGGAGATCCAAGAAATTAGGGTTCAAGTTCATTTACCCAAAATTTCTTCTCAAGTTGTTATTCCTACAGTTGTTGAACAGTTTGACAACTTACAAGAACAACAAATATATGATCAAATACCCCCCACAATGAAACTGTGACTAATGAACCTACATTAGATGAACCACATGAAATAGTACCTAGAAAGTCTCAACAATAAGAACGGTCTGCTATTTTCGATGATTATGTGGTTTATCATCATGAATCCGAATTTGACTTAGGAGTCAATGAAGATCC